GATGCTATTATAAAAGGAATTGTTTCCCTAATTTCTCTCTCAGTGAGTCTGTTACTTGTGTATAAGAAGGCTATTGTTTTTTGAGTGTTGACCTTGTATCCAGCTACTCTACCGAATATGTCAATTCTAGAAGTCTCTTGGTGGTGTTTTTTGGGTCTTTTTCGTTTCTTTTTTTGATGTCCATGCTGTATTAATGTATCTGAATGGCTTGGGTGGTTTTTTTATTGGTTAGTAATAACTTTTTCTTTTTCATGGGTGGATGATTATAAACCCCTGAAAGCAAGCACATTTATTACATTTATCTGATGAAAAACAACACAGCTCCTAGAGATGTATACAGTATTGGTGGGTGGGCATGATTACTTATGAATCTATGTTGAAAAACTTTCATATTATAAATTTTCCTAATTACAAAGTTATCTGAGGTGTTTGTGCAAAAGCTCTTGTTCTCAAGAGCCGGGCGTGGTGGCGCAGGCCTGTAATGCCAACACTTGGGAGGCTGAGGCAGGAGGATCACCATGAGTTCAAGGCCGGCCTGGGCTACATAGTGAGTTTAGGCCAGTCTGAACTATAAAGTGAGAGCCTGTGTAAAAAAAAAAAAGAGACCAAAAGCTCATTTTCTCAGGCACTGTAGGCAGCCATGGCTAGAACATAGGAAGACATGGGATAGAAGGCCTGGCTCAGGCTTTTGACAAAGAAGTTCCACCTTCTTGTTCCCTTTTGAATATGTTTCATGAGGATTTTGAGATAATTGTAGCAAAACTGCAAAAGAAGCATTAAAGCATCTCATACTCTGTGGTTATATCCTATTAGAGTGGCCATGTTTAGAAACAGTTTTCTTCAAACCTAATGCAGCCATACTTTATGTTCTTTGCTCTCTCTTCCTTCAGATATAGTGGTTTTTACAATTTGAAGATTTGTAGCAACTCTGCTTTGAGCAACTCAGTGCCATTTTTCTAATAGCATACACTCAACTTTCTGTTTCTGTATCACATTTTGGTAATCTCACATGCTTCTACCTTTTTTATTATTATGACATCTGTTACGGTGATCTGTGGTTAATGATTTTTCATGTTAACAATTATAATTGTTTTGGGGCGCTGGTAAACATGCCTGTGTAATAAGATAAACTTGGTAAGGGCCGGGGATTTAGCTTAGTGGTTCCAGCGCCTGCCTTGCAAGGGCAAGGTCCTGAGTTCGATCCCTGGTACTAAAAAAAAAAAAAAGATGAACTTACTAAAGGTTCTGTGTGTTGTACTGCCTTACTAGCAGACTGCTTCCCATCTCTTTCCCTTTCCTGGGCTTTGTTAGTGTCTGAGACACAGCTGTACGTAATGAAATTAGGCCAGTTAAAAACTCAATGGGGCCCTGTGTGTTCAGGTGAAAGGAAGAGTCGCGTATGTCTCACTTTGTCAAGTGCTGGAAATGATTAATTTAGTGAGGAAGGTTTGTGGAAAGCCACAGTGCGCCAGAAGTGAAGCCTCTTGTGCCAAACACACAGCCAGGTCTTTGTTTTTTGGGTTTTAGGGGTTTTTTTTGGTACTAGGGATTGAACTCAGGACCTTGTGCTTTCAAGACAGATAAGGTGCCACTGAGCTAAAATCCCCAGTTCTGTTTTTTTGTTTTTTTGGAGACAGGGCCTTGCAGTGTAGTTCAGGCTGCCCTTGAACTCACAGCAGTCCACCTGCTTCAGCCTCCCAAGTACTGGGATTATAGATGTACCACATCCAGCCATAAAGTCAAATTTGAATGTAAAGAAAATGTTCTTGAAATTAAAAGTACTGTTCCAATGAACATATGAGTAAGAAAGTAAAACAACTTTGTTGTTGATATGGATAAAGTTTTAGTGGTCTGGATAGAAGACCAAACCAGCCACAGCATGTGCTTAAAGGCCTAACTCTCTTTAGTTCTTCGATGGCTTAGAAATAAGGACGCTTGAGAAGAAACATTTGAAGCTAGCAAAGGTTGGCTTATGATGTTTAAGGAAGGAAGCCATCCCTATAACAGTTCAAGGTGAAGAAGCAATTGCTGATGGAGAAGTGGCAGTGAAGTACTGAATCTAGATCTAGCAGATTGATAAGGGTTGCTACACTAAACAAATTTTCAGTGTAGAAAAACAGCCTTAATATTGGAAGACAGTACCATCTAGGACTGTCATAGCTGAAGAGAAGTCAGCGCCTGTCTTTAAAGTTTCAAAAGACAGGCTGACTCTCCTGTCAGGGTCTAGTGTACCTGGTGAGTGTAAGTTGAAGTCAGAGCCCATGAGCCATTCTGAAAATGCTGGGGTCCTTAAGAATTACATTTAGTCTCCTCTGTCTGTGCCTGGAAAATAGAACAGCAAAGCCTGTAGGATTGCACGTTTGTTTATACAATTACTGCTGATTGGGCCAGGGATTTAGCTCAGTGGTTCTTTCGACTACCTCGCAAGCGCAAGGTCCCGAGTTTGATCCTCAGAACCAAAAAAAAAAATCCCTCAGGAATAAATTACTGCTGATTAACAAACCACCTGGTGCTTTGGTGGAAATTGTCTTCATGCCTACTAACACAGCATCCATTCTGCAGCCTATGGGTCAAGGAGTAGTTTCAAGTTCTACTATTTAAGAAATATGTTGGTCCAAAAAAAAAAAAAAAGACAACAAGAAATATGTTGGGCCGGGGATTTAACTCTGTGGTTTTGCCGCTTGCTGTGCAAGCACAAGGACCCGAGTTCAATCCCTGGTACCAAAAAACACACAAAAAAAGAAATATGCCTCCTAAGGCGGATACATATTTTATATATGGCTGTTATATAGTCATTCCTTGATAGAACTGGGGAAAGTAAGTGGAAAACCTTGGAGAAGATTCACTATTCTAGATGTAGTTAACAACATTGATGAGTCATGGGAAGCCCAGAATGATCAGCATTATCGAGAGTGTGGGAGAAGTTGATTCCAACCCTTGTGGATAGACTGAGGGATTTAAGTCTTCAGTGATGAGATGTGGTGGAACTGGCAAGAGAACTAGCATTGCAGGGGAGCCTGAAGATGTGACAGTACTACTGCAGTCCTGCAAGGAGAGCTGCTTTTCATGGGTAAGTAACATGATTTCTTTAGACAGAATATACACCTTGTGAAGATGCCATGGACATTTGGAAGTGAAAACACACAAAGACCTTGAACACTACATAAACTGTTGATAAAACAGCAGCAGGTTTGATAAGACTGACTCCAGTTTTGAAAGAAGTTCTGCGAGTAAAATGCTATCAAATAGCATCAAGCTGCAGAGAACTCATGAGAAGAAGAGTCAGTCATGCAGCGAACATGACTGCTAAGTGATTTCCACAGCTACCCCAGCCTGTAGCAACTGTAGCCTTGACTGGTCAGCAGGCATCAACCCTGAGGCAAGACTTCTTGCTACAGGCCCAGATAATCATTAACATTTTAAAAAATAATGTCCTTTTAATTGTATGCATTATTTTTTAGATACAGTGCTACTTAACAGACATGCAGCTTTTACATGCAATAGAAAACAAAAATTTGTATGACTAATTTTTTGCAGTATTCACTTTATTGGAGTGGTCTGGAACCAAACTTACAATGCTTCCAAGAGAAGTATGATGGCTGGCACTTTAAACTTCTGAACGAAAATACTAAAAATGCTGAAAACTACTTGGGGAAAGGCTTTGTAGAGTGATCATCGGATCAAGCACATTTTGTTGATAAGATAATAAACTGCACTGCTCATTTTTCTCTTCCTGTAGGTTTTATGGGAATTAGAAACCTTACGTCTCATAAATCACTTTGAAAACTCCATGAAGGAAGAAATTGAAGATGATGATGAATTATACATAGTAGACAACAATGGAGAGGCACAGCTGTTTGATTTTAGTGGCCAAGACTTTGAAAATAAGATACGAGTTCCTCTTCTTGAAATACTGAAATATCCGTACCTGCTTCTACATGAGCGTGTTAGTGAGTATCTTGGGCATTTCTCAAGTTGTATCAGTTTTATTATTTTAAGAATTGGGGGCGCTGGGTGTGTGACTCAGTGGTAGAGTGCATGTTTAGAGTACACAAGACCCTGGCTTTGATTCCCAGCACTCATGCACACTCAAGTTAGAAGAGTTGAGGATTACTAATTTATATTAAAAATGTGTTTGCTACACATATAATTAGGATACTTAATATTGTTTGTAACATTTTATTATGAAAGTTGTCAAACAGATAAGTAAATTACCCACCATTTAGGTTTTCTAATTGTTAACATTTTGCTGTATTTGCCTGTCACATAGCTTTTTGTCTGTTCATTCAGTTTTCATTGTCGTAATACATCAGTGGCAAGGTTATTGGTCTTGGCACTATTGAAAGTTTGGACTGGGTAAGGGACTGGGCCGTTCAGCAGGCCATGGGATGTTAAGTAGCACCTCTGGTGTCTAACCACCCCAGTAGCATCCTCCTCCCACCACAAACATCTTCAGACATCGGTGCCTGTCCCTTGGTGACTAGGCAGGGGCAAGATCCCTTTGGTTGAAAACCACTGATCTGTAATAATTTTCACTCATTACCATGGCATAACATAGCGTGGCTGTTTAGCTTAGGGTTGTTTGTATCTGTTGGCAAAGTAATGACACCTTCCTACTTGAGCAAATCTAATAAAATAAGAATACTTTTAAAGCTTCTAACATGTAGTTCGTATTCCTGTTTTCTCAGTAGTTGTAAAAATGTGGAGAATTTTTTGGCTGGTTTGTTTAGAGTCCAGTCAGGGAGCACATACATGAATTTGAGTTGAGACCATATAGTTGCCGTATAGAAAAACTTACCGTAAGATTTTTTTCTTATGATATTTGACTTGTTTCTCCTTTGTATTTCAATAAACTGGAGAATAAGGCTTACAGATTTGTTTAGCTAGATCACTCCTTTCTAAATCAATAAATTCAAAGTAGTTAGCTTTAAAAATTCTAACAAGGCATTTAAAAAACATTTACTAAAGAATAATATATCCAGGAAATTATATAAACTTTGTGGTTCTCTGCACTTAGGTAGCCATCATCTAGATCACGAAACAGAGCATTATCAGCATCGTAGCGGCCCCATTATGCTTTTCTAGTCCTTACCCTCTTCCCCAAAGCCAGCCACTAGCATAATAGCTTACTGACGTAGTACTACAGTACTAGTGGTTTTTGAAACCTGAAGAACTAAAGTTGATTGATCTGAGAGGGCAAATGGATAGTTCAGTAATTGGAAGTAGGGGATGACTAGTCATTTGGAGGAAAAGCTGACTTTCCTCAGTCCTGTCCCAGGTGCAGTAATCCTGGTGGACCAAAATGTAAAACACGTAAGGATTTGTACCTATAACCTGTCTATCTTTTAAGAAGGTAATGTATGGAGATAGTTACGCCAAGTATTAAAGAAAAGTGTATATTCTAGTAAAGTCAAAATAATCCCCCCAGACACCCTGTGATTGTAATTGAATAGTCCGTCCAGTGTAAATATTGTTCTTACACTTGTGTATTATTTGCATTTGTATGCCTTAGTTAAGGAAAAAAGGGTGACCATTTCGTTTACATACAAAACAACCAAAGAGCCAGACTTAGGGCATCTTGCTAAGTTGTTAAGATTTGTATATTTCCTGTCTTATTTTTTCTATTTAGATGAGCTCTGTGTTGAAGCACTTTGCCGGATGGAGCAAGCCAATTGCTCCTTTCAGGTTTTTGAAAAACATCCGGGGATCTATTTGTTTCTGGTCCATCCCAATGAAATGGTGAGTATGAATGTTAGGAAGTGGAAGAATATACCTTATTTTTGTACGTCTAGGTAGTTTTAGTAGAGGTTTTAGGTATGTATTTTGTTTAAATTACTTGCTAAAGCCAGGGCTTTAGTTCAGTGGTTCTGCCGCCTGTCTCGAAAGCACAAAGTCCCAAGTTGGATCCCCGGTACCAAAAAAAACAAAACACAAAAAACCAAACCAAACCAAAGAAAGAGAGGAAGTTAAAAGGATACAGCCATTCCCCTCAGAAGATAATAGTTTCTGTGGAGCAGCAATGGAGCAGAAGCACAAAGTTATTGGGAGGTAGAACCCTTAGGCTTGCCTGGCTATAGGTAGTGAGAGACTAAACTTGTGCAGGATAACCAGGATTAGAAATGTACTCCAGGCAAGACAAAGACCCAGAGCCAAAGTGTGTCTAAACAAGGGTGGGGCTCCTCTCCTGTCAAAGTTGACAAACTGCAAAGTGGTCAACTGGGTTTTTAAAAGCTGATAATACCCGTAGAGGAAGCCAGTTGTGTTAGTTTTCAGATACCTAAGATCGTCCTCTTATAAAGAGAGAAGGTTTACTTTGGCCTAGTTTTGGAAATTTTAGTCCATGATCAGTTGGTCTTGTTGCCTTGGGCACGTGGTAGAGCAAAATCACTCATTGCATGGCTAGGGAGGGAAAAGGAAGGGACTTAGGTTTCATAGTCCCCTTTGAGTGTAAGCTCCTCATGACCTGATGACATCCCACTGGATCCCACCTCCTGAAGGTCCCACTTCTTCCCATTTGGAGGACCAAACCTTTAGCACATGGGTGTTCGCGGGATATTCCAGATCCAAACTGTAGCACGGGTCTTGTCGCATAGCCACATCCTGGGCCAAGCTCTGGCAGGTCTGGTGACTGAGTCTACAGTGTTGTGCGATCAAAGGCAGGTTGTCCTGAGCTGCCAGTACTGTACCTAGGTCTAGGACTACAAGGGTCAGAGAGAGGGCCCCATAGTTAATAGTTAGGAAAGAGTGTAGGAGGTATATCATTAGAGGAAAAGAATTCTTTCATGTAGAGTGAGATTGCAAACCAAATCCCTGAAAAACACATGAAGAAAAACCATTTCTTAGATACAGAGTCAGAACCAGCACTATTGGCCATTTGCCAAGATCCATTCTACAGGAACTTGAAAGAGAAAATAAAGAAAACTGGGAGACACTCAGGACTGACAGAGCTGTGTGAGTGGTATATTGGAGGGTGGGCAGGAGATGGCCCTGCTATCTGAGTGTGGGAAGGAAGTAAAGCTTGCTTTCCATTCTCCTAAGCCATTGGATAAGCAGTGCATGCATCTGTATTTGGGCAATTCAAAGATCTGACCCAGGTGAAGATAGGAATACAAATCAGGTCCTGCAGCGCCCTGGCATTTGTGACACTGAGACAAGCTAAACACCAGTAGTTACTGTGGATCCATCCCCTCTAAACCCCCAGAACTGGGGAATTGCAGTCCAGTAGGGTTTTCTCCAAATGTTGCTTCTCCCTGAACTGGAAAATTAAATTGGTGACAATAAGTGGTTACTGGTTTTTTTGGTACCGGGGATCAAACTTGGGACCTTGCACTTGCGAGGCAGGCGGGGCACCACTGAGCTAAATCCCTGGCCCTAGAATTTTTTTTTTAAAGTTCAATGTAAGTGAATATATGGATGATAACTTAGGGTAGGTCATATCAACATGATAATGGGGTTGGTAGGCCAGAGCTTGCATGCTAAATTCTTATCCTGAGGGCACAGGTAGGTATGAGTTATTTTTAGAAAGAAGAAATTTCTTTAAAAGGAATAGAAAAAGGGCTCATACATATAAACAGATTCGAGGATATCAGTATTTAATAGAAATGGGCTGAATATTTCAGTTGAGTAATAAAGATCAGATTAGACTATGAAAGGGAAAACATCCAGATTCCGTTTCTAGGAGTTACAACTAAAACCTAAGAGCACAAAAAAACTTGAGTAGAAAAAGAACAGACAAATGCTAATATAAAAAAAAGGTAAAACAATAGTAATATCGAATAAACATTTAAAAAGTTGGATAAGGTTGAGTAGCACATACAGGGGATTAAATAACTTCAAAGTAGGTGTTGCAGTTATTGGTGGAACTAAAATATTTAAATATGTTGTTTCTAAAAGATAAGATCTTTTTTTTTTTTGGTACTGGGGATTGAACTCAGGTCCTTGTGCTTTCGAGGCAGGTGGCGGAACCGGTGAGCTAAATCCCTTGCCCAAAGACAAGATCTTTAAAAAATAACCATTTTCACCATTTGAAAAATACCATTTTCACCATTTTAAAAATAACATTTTTTCTAATACCATGTTTCCTGTTGGTGTTTAAATGATTGGACACAATTGTCTCTTAAATGGCTTATTACGGCTAATTCAAATCAGGATCAAGTAACATACACACATTCTATTAGTATCTCAAGTGTCTTAAAATCTATGGAGAATCCTATTTTATATCCATATTGTTGCTATATGTAGTTTTTTGAACATACTATGTTACACATTTAGGTTCGGCGTTGGGCTATCCTGACTGCAAGAAACCTTGGAAAAGTGGACAGAGATGATTATTATGACTTACAGGAAGTGTTAACTTGCCTTTTTAAAGTCATTGAGTTGGGCCTTCTAGAAAGTCCAGACATTTATACTTCTTCAGTCCTTGAAAAGGGTAAACTGATTCTCCTGCCTGCACACATGTATGATACTACCAACTACAAAAACTATTGGTTAGGTGAGTATTGTTCCTCCATTTCTTTCTTTTTTTTTTTTTAGTACCAGGGATCGAACTCGGGACCTTGTGCTCGTGAGGCAGGCGTCGGAACCACTGAGCCAAATCCCGGGCCCTCCTCCTCCATTTCTATAACTAGTGTCATCCTGGGTGTCCCGTTCTATCAGTCTTGGACTGGACGTGATCTCTGGGTGATCGATTCCAAACTGCTGAATACAGGGTTTTGAGGTTCCCAGTTCATGATCTGTCATTATATTCACCTAACAATTATGTATATTATTGTTACACATTTATTCTGGAAACCTGTGGAAGCACATGCAAGCATTGTCAAATGAATCTTTTGTTTAAAGGAATATCAGAATAACACAGTATCAGTGTAGCAGTTGACTTTAGTCTTGAAGAGACATTAGCATTGTTTATAGTGGTATAGGGGCAGGTGAATTGGAACTATAGAGATGCGCCACACTCTGAATTAAATGGAATCCTTTATTATAATAGCGAGTGGGCTCAGGCCTCCAAAAACTCTGGACAAAGGAAAGGCAGTTTTGCAGGGTCCTTTTAAGGGCTCTTCTATTTGGGGAGGGCTCAGGGAGAGGGGGGAGGACAAGTGACCTTCACAGGAGCCAAGCTTGTGGGAGGCAAGGAAGTTTCTCGCAGTTTAGGTAAAACAAAATAACAAAGTATCACAGGTGCAGGAGTCTTCTGTTACAGGGGAGTAAATTTAACATAGTTGCAGACTCACACAGGATTCCTGGTCTGTTATGCATCAACTGAGGGGACTCCCAAGGGGGAAGGGGAACTGACACCCGGAATCACTGACTCTATACAGATGGAGTCAGGTTGGCCATCACAGTAGGCTCTATACTGACTCAGAATAGCTGTACTCTATGTATCAATTCCAAGTCTTTAGATCACATGTTGTAAGTGGTAGTAGTTTTTTCTTTTTTAGTAGCATATGAAATATGGTACATCTAAAAATTGAAGGCATCTTAGTTGATGAAATACAAGTTTGAAGTAGTCATCTTAGAAATTGTTTTCTAAGTTGGTACCATTTTCTCCTTTTACATTCAAAATATCCTAAAATTCTTTTCTTTTTTTTGGTACCGGGTATCAAACTCAGGACCTTGCGCTTGCGAGGCAGGCAGCAGAACCACTGAGCTAAATCCCCTGGCCCCAAAATTCTATTATTCGAGAACAGCTGTGCATGAATATCCAAGACTTAAATGTTTGAGGAGTTGGATTCTGTTTTCCTTTATCATCTAGCTCTTTTCCGCCCCCTACACACACACACACACACACA